AGCAATCAAGACTCAATTACAACAGAAGGATGTATAGTCCACACAAGGTGTGCACCTTGAGGGTACAGCTGGAGTGACCAGGGAGGCCGTGCCACTGGACCCTACAGGACACCTACTACAATAGGCCACCCTAAAAAGCCTAGGAAACATAGCAACTCTACCTAATGCATAAAAACAAACACAGGGAGGCAGCCAAAATGAGGAGACAAATAACCTGTTCCAGATGAAAGAACAGAACAAAACTCCAGAAAAAGAATTAAACAAAATGGAGAAAAGCAATCTTAACAGATACAGAGTTCAAAACACTGCTTACAAGGATGCTCAATGGCCCTGGCCGGTTTGGCTCAGCGGTTAGAGCGTCGGCCTGCAGTCCAGAGAGATCCGGGTTCGGTTCCCGCTAAGGGCATGTACCTCGGTTGCAGTTTGTCCCTGGGCCTGGTTGGGTCATGTGGGAGGCAGCCACTCGATGTGTCCCTTTCACATCGATGTTTCTCTCTCTCTCTCTTCCTCTCTCTCCCTTCCGCTCTATCTGAATAAAAAATAGAAAAATGTCCTCGGGTGAGGATAAAAAAAAAAAAAGGATACTCAATGAACTTTGTGAGGGCCTCAAGAGCATAAAAAAGGACCAGTCAGAAATAAAGGAGGCAATAACTGAAATAAAGAATAATTTACAGGGAATCAATTGAATAGGTAAGGCCAAGAAGCAAACCATAGATTTGGAATAAAAGGAAGCAAGACACACCCAATCAGAACAGCAAGAAAAAAAAGAATCCAAAAAAAATGAGGACAGTTTAAAGAGACTCTGGGGCAACTTCAAGTGTACTAACCCTCACATCATGGGGGTGCCAGAAGGAGAAGAGCAAGAACAAGACATCAAAAACCTAATTGAAAAAAATGACAGAAAATTTCCCTAACTTGGTGAAGGAAACAAACATAAAAGTCCAGGAAGCACAGAGTTTCAAACAAGATGAACCCAAAGAGGCCCACAACAAGACACATCATAATCAAAATACAAAAGATTAAAGACAAAGAGAGACTCTTAAAAGCAGCAAGAGAAAAGCAGTTAGTTACCTACAACGGAGCTCCCATAAGGCTGTCAGCTGATTCCTCAAAAGAAACTTTGGAGGCCAGAAGACAGTGAGTGGCAAGAAATAGTCAAAGTGATGAAATGCAAGAATCTTCAACCAAGATTACTCTTTCCTGCAATTATTTTAGAATCGATGGACATATAGTTTCCCAGACAAGAAAAAGCTAAAGGAGTTCATCTCTACCAAACCAGTATTATATGAAATGTTGAAGGGTCTTCTTGAAGAAAATGATAAAAAATATGAACAATAAAATGGCAATAAAGACACATCTATTAACAATTGAATGTACAAACAAAATAAACAAACAGAACAGAAACAGACTCATAGATACAGAGAACTTTTTGTTGGTTGCCAGATGGGAAGGGGGTTGGGGAATGGGTGAAAAAGGTGAAGGGATTAAGAAGTACAAATTTGTTGTTAGAATGACAAACCTCAAAGGGAAGGGGGGCGGGGCAGGAAGACATAAAGCAAAGAATTTATATGAATAACCAATGGATAGACAATAGTGTAGGGGTGCAGGAGCAGGCAGGAGGGGTCAATAGGGGGAAATAGAGAGACATCTGTAATACATTCAACATAAAGATAAGTTTAAAAAATTACAAATAAACAAGGTTTTAAAAAAATTCTGAACGTGCAAAAATAATGTTTCTGAAAACCTACAGATAATCAAGTAACAAAAGCTTTTGGTGAAAATGACTTTTTAAATATTTGACATCCTGTTTTTATGAAGCTATACCTATCAGAGATGTTGCTGTATTCATATCAAATTAAGATCGTGAAAAGTAAAAGACACATTGTATATATTGTATAAATTATATAATATACCAAACTATAAATGTATTAACATTTTTAAACCAGAATTTGAAGGAATGTCACCAAATCCAATGAAAGTTGCTAGTTTTAGTGTGTTGATATGTTTTTCAAAAGCTAAATAGTCTACAGGACTGAATTTAGGTTCTACTTGATTCAAGCCCTGAGGCGTCTCCTGAAAGAACACTTATGGCAGGTCAGGAGCAATCCAAAAGAGTCACAGGAAACAGGTGCAAAGGACTTCCAAGTACTTTCTCTTGTTAAAATCAAAGTAGCATTTAAGCACTTCATCTTCTACACAAAGACTGGTTTAGAATTAGTTGAAATGAGAGATACTGAAGATAAACCAAACCTAAAAGTTATGCATAGTTATGTGTACTTTGACTATATTATGTCACTGAATAGTTTGATGCATTTCTATCATTCTGTGTGAACTTCTTGAATACCTTTTACACATTCTGCAGTGTAGGCATACAGATTGAGTGTAAGACATGCCCAGTGTCAGTGAGTTTGTACTTTTAAATTTAATTTTATTGTATTTATTGAGGTGAGATTGGTTAATAAAATTATATAGGTTTCAGGTGTAATTTTTTTTTTTTAAATCCTCACTTAGGATATTTTTCCATTGATTTTTAGATACAGTGGGAGGGAAACAAAGACAGAGAAACATTACTGTGAGAGACACACATAGATTGGTTGCCTCCTACACGACCCAGACTGGGGCCAGGGATCAAACCCGCAACCCAGGTAACACACCCTTGACTGGGAATCGAATCCAAGACTCTTTGGTCCTCAGGCCATGCTCTAACGGCTAAGCCACACTGGCCAGGGCAAGGTACACAATTCTTTAATACATCATGTGTATATTGTGTATTCACCACCCCAAGTCAAATCTCCTCCCATTACCATTTATCCCCCCCTTAACCCTCCTCTCCCTCCCCCCACCCTCCTTTCCCTCTGGTAATCATCATGCTGTTGTCTGTGTCTGAATTTTTTTTTTTTTTTTTTTTGCTAATCCCTTCACCTTTTTCACCAGCCCACTAGCCCCCTCCCCTCTGACAGATGTCAGTCTGTTTTCTGTATCTATGAGTCTATTTTGTTTGATAGTTTATTTTATTCATTAGATTCCACATGTAAGTGAAATCATATGGTACTTGTGTTTCTCTGATTGGCTTATTTCACTTAGTAAAATATTCTTCAGGTCCATCCATGTTGTCCCAAAAGGTAAGATTTCCTTCTTTTTTACGGCCGAGTAGTGTTCCACTGTGTAAATGTACCACAGCATTTTTTATCCACTCATCTACTGATGGCACTTGGGCCGCTTCCAGATCTTGGTTATTGTAGATAACGCTGCAATGAACATCAGGGTGCATATATTCTTTCAAATTAGTGTTTCGAGTTTCTTCGGACGTACTCCCAGAAGTGGAATCGCTGGGTCATAAGGCAGTTCCATTTTTAATTTTTTGAAGTAACTCCATACTGCTTCCACAGTGGCTGCACCAGTCTGCATTCCCACCAACAGTATACAAGGGGCATTTTCATTTCTAATTAAAGTTAATCACAATTCTTACTTTAATATATTCCACAACTTAAGGGGAAAAAAGAGTATTACAGCTGTTTAAAGGAAGCACAAGTTGAATTAATGCAAATTTCAGGAAAAGGATTTGAAATATTTTTCATAAGACAGGCATCTAACAAGATAAACATGTGAATGTTTTATACTGTTACCAAAGTTAAAATCTTCCTGAAACTTTCTTCCATATAAACATTCAAGATGAAAACAGATCAAGCCATGTAAGCAGAGAATGTATACCAGAATTTTGAGAATTAGTAATCTGATACATATCGCTCATTAAAACATTCAGCTGCACAAGAAATATTAACATATGTAATCAAAGAAATAGCACCTTTTAAAAATCAAGTTATCGAAAATGCAAGTTTGCAAAAACGATTCTGAACTACAAATCACATGAAACCATTTGAAAAGGAAGTGGTAACAAAATTCTGAAGTGTAATGTTACATATTGATGTAAATGCAAGCGATATACAACATTCAAAACCAAAATTATGCCTATATATTATAGCAGGCCAAAGTTCCTTTTCTTTTTAAGTCACGTTTTTAGTATTCTCTCTAAACTGGATCAGCAGAGCAGCATACCTTAACATAAGGAGGAAAATTTTTAAAGGACCTACTTAAGAAAGAAAACAGTGTGAAAGTGTATCTTTTAGTGTATCTTTCTATTAAACACATAGACAGCTTTATTATAAGACTTTTGCTATTCAGTGGAATTCAGACAAAATGAGTCTGTTTTGGACCATAGCCCAAAACTTCTTACCTCAGTACCACAAAAAGATTATCATAACATGATTTTTACTGGACTCTTCCATGGTATACAGCTGCCTCTCTCAGCCAGAGTTCTGGGTACAACATTATGCTCAGACCTAACGTCATTACGTTTTAATAAGTGAGGCAAAGTATATACCTATGTTGTTTCTAATCCTTTAAAACCCTTCAGAGTTGAAAAGGTTGTCCTTGAATGGCTAATTTAAATAAAAATAAATATGCGTAGTAGTATACATAATTTCACTGGCCTAGACATGTTTTCAAATAATTTTTTTCCAATTGTGACATTTATATCAAAAGTCTCACTACAGTAAATTATATCCATGCTTCCAAAAAGTGTTTAATTAATCAAAATTCTCCCTTGTAACTTGAATAAACAGATCTTGGGTTCAAGAAACACCAATACATTATTAATAAGTTATTATAATTCTGTATTTACTTTCATTTATAAATATCACACAAATTATCACTGGCAGGCATAAAATGTTAAATCACTAAACTAATTTCTAAATATTGATTTAAAAAGCTTTGGGCATATATTGCAAAATATTTTAGGAAAACTAAAATAGAAAAACTAACGAAAGCTTTTTTTTTAGCAGGTAATACACCAATAATTTTCTTAATGGTCATCGCCTACCCAGGAGTTGATAAATACTTGCATAGTTCTTGTAGAAAATGGACCTGGCACAATGTGAAGACAAATACTGACAAAAACCACATGTCTCAAGTTATATTTGAAGAAATAATACAATCTGTAATATTTCATGAAGTTGTTTATTCTTGTTATTAAAACTTGGACTCAAGTAATCCTGGTTATTCTGGAAAAAGCACCTTGTTTGTAGAGGTCATTTAATCGTCCTTTTCTACAATCACCTCTCCATGAAGCACCTTTCTTCTTTGACGTAACATGTGAAAATAGAGCTGTGGGAACACTTAATTGGAAAAAGAAAACAAAGAAAGACAAGCTGTTGTTGGAAATTATTTAGACTTGAAACCTCTTAAAGGTGGCAAAGTCTGAGAGCAAGCACATCAGATACCCCCCCCCACCCCCTAACGTTGACAGAACTCAGGGTAAGAGTGCAAATGGAGGCCCGCACACCATCTGCCTAACATTATAATAAGCTGTGGGGCTTCTAGCAAACTTCATAATGACCTGGAAGGCCTTGTTTGAACTCACAATCCTGTAAATCTGGAATACTGTGCCAGCACATTCCAGCACAGAAAAGCTGCCTGCCTGGCCCCCTTTTCTCCCTGCTGTTGGATGTCCGGTACCATGAGGGGTCTTGTGAATATGTGTGTGGATATGTAAGCCCACACAAACCACATCCCCTTCCATACCCTTCACAAAAGCTTCCCTAGCTACCCCTTGATGTCAGGGCTGTGCACACTGCTGACAGGGTTAACTCCAAGGAGAACAGATTGGGGAAGAGGCCTATGCAGCCCCTAGATGTACACTCAGTGCCATGTGGGCAGCAGATTCCATGTCCCTGGTTTCCAGAGAGTGATCTAGAAGGCAGGGAACCTGTGTGGAGAGGTGACCAGTGGTGAGCCAGGACAGGGCCCAGAGTGGAAGCCCTCCTTGGCTGGGTATAACGGCAGTCTGTTATACACAAACACATAAATATACATGTATTAAACCAGTTAGACAAATTGTCATCTGCCTTACCAAATTTGGAGAATTATTCTGAGTCAATTTGAATCAGTGCTTTAAATTACAGTCTGTTAGTGGATGAACAAATTCACATTAACTATCAACAATACAAAGGTAAAAACATCTCTGAATATGGTAAACAGAATAACCAAATCAATGAATGACAAAACAAGCTCTAAATATCTTGCTTCAGCAACTTCAGGTAACAATTTTTAGAACTTGGCTCAAATGGAGCAAAAATGCACAACAGATTTTACTTTTTAAAATTTAGGTACTACCCTTCTTCATAAATGTAACCATCATAAATAACTAGGGGCCCAAATATATTCAGGTCATATATACTTAAAGCTAACTGGCCAATAATTGCAAATACTTGTCTAACATTCTGAGTCATTTATAGAACTACAGGCTTGAGTTCAAATCCTGGCCTTATTTACTAGCTGGGTAATTTTTAATCCATCCATTTAATCTCTATAATCTATAAAGTCCTCATGATAAATGAGAACTAATAGTACTTCTTTTGAGTATTAAAATAATTGCTCAAAACATACTTGTAATTAGCAAAGAATTTAGTGAATAAGCAAAGCAAAATTAGTTCTTATTGCTAATATTTTTTATGCTCACCCGAGGACATTTTCCATTTTTTGTTCAGATAGAGTGGGAGGGGGAGAGAGGAAGAGACAGAGAGAAACATCGATGTGAAAGGGACACATCAAGTGGCTGCCACCCACATGACCAACCAGGGCCGGGGACAAACTGCAACCGAGGTACCGGCCTTAGAGGGAACCGAACCCAGGTCTCTCTAGACCGCAGGCCAACACTCTAACCACTGAGCCAAACCGGCCAGGGCCTTATTCCTAATATTAATAAGCAAGTGGAAAACATCCCCCTGGCTGACTGATCTCCCAGCAAAGTGTCCTCTCAGGTAAATGTCAGCATGAGGAACTGAGAAGCTGCTACTGGCACAGGACGGAGTCTACATTTCCCAGGACACCTGAAAACACATGGTCAAAAGTTATTAGTTTGCTGGTTTCAAACCACGATCTGTTGGGCCCTGGGTTTCTGTCCAGATGTCTCAGCGGTTATGAGGAAGAGAACCCAGTGCCTGAACCTGCAACTATGATATGACAGATGACACTAAAGCAAGGTCTGGCTCTGCTCAAGGTGTGTCACCGTTCACTGGGTGTTGGGAAAAGCAGGGGGTATAAACAAGTGTTACAGATGTACCACTCCTTAGCCCTCCTGAACTGACGGGTGGAAATCAAATGAGAGTCAGGCTGAAATGATACAAGCGAGGGGAATAAAAACACTACCTAACCATCAAGTCAGTTTTGATTTTGAAAAGCTTAAAAATTGCAGGCCTCCTGGTACTGGCCAAGTTTCAAGCCTTAGAGTACTTATTTTATATTGTGCCAATGTAGATTTTAGATTCTATAAACTGTTCTTATTTCCCTTTCCCCCCACTGATACCAGTCTCTAATTTTATTGAGAAGGGTTAACTAACCACCTTGCTTTACATTACTTCCTGCTAATGACTATCAAAATTTGACCTAAACAGATACCGTTGTTAGTGTTTAAATGCAGTAAGTAAAGCCTCATTAATTCATTGCAACTACTGAAAGGTGGTGAGAAATTAGTAGACTGAATTATTAAAAATATTTTAAGAAAAGCAGCTTCATTGTTTTCTAGAGCACAGAGCAACACAGACTGAAAAGCACTCCTGGATGAGTTCTCCAAGTATACGCTTAATGAGTAGAAATGATCTGACATGTTCTTGGATAAAATGTTTCTATTCAGATAAATAACTCTACATGCTTACAAATAGTTCACTGATGCAACCTTTATCTTTTCTTTAAAAAGTAAATCATACTAAGCTTATTTGAAGTAATTCTGAGCAAGAAGGCAATCATCTGTGTATTAATTTACTTACCTTTCTTCTCATAACTAGGAAAAAGTCTCTTTTGACTCACTAGCTCTTCAATTATTTCAAATTAATGAATACATGTGGGACTGAATAGAAGTTTTGATGTATTTGTAAGCTGGTATTTCTCCTTGCTTATTAAGCTAGTGATTATATTCTTCCAAAAAAACTTTCATAGCATATGCTAAATCAAAGTACTAATAAATACATACTTACGTGGTATATATGAAGCCATGGTGATAAGAAGAAAATAGTAGTAGTCAAAAGAGATATTGTATTTATTAGGAAGTCTTATGGAAAACATTCCGGTTTTCTTCACGTATGGTAAGGCAGCGTATATCGTGAGAAGTTCACCAGCAACTCCGACAGGATATAAGATGATAAAAAAGTTGTATCTGGAGAAAGAAAAACCTCAGAGTTACTTTTCTAGACTAAGTGTTGAGTTTTATATAATGGTTCTTTAGCTACCGCTATGTTTAAACTTAAAAATTATCCTTCCTATACAATAACTCCACATAAAAAAAGGTTAATTTTTCCTACTTTAATCATTTGCTTATTAATTTAATTATCATTTTTTTCTCATAGTAGTTTCCATTTCAAATGGCAAGATCATTAAAATAAGAAAGTCAACTTACTTTAAAGTACTAAAGTAGCTATGCATATTTTTTAAATGTATATGTAGTTGTTTAACTATTTTGAAGTACGTAAGTATCGATTTGTAAAGCATATGTAAGAACTACAAGATATTGTAATCATAACTGACTGATATTTCCCCAGCAGCTGGACATTTATTGTTCAAATGCTATGCTGTAAAAGACCAGTTATGGTCATAATTTTGTATCTAAACCTTGAAGTTACCTCTTTGGAGGAATTTGGAAAACCTCAGTGGCTGCTACTGAAAAGACAATTAATATTTCAGAAAACTGATCATGCTACCTAAGGCATCATCAGTAACTACTAATGAACACACTGTCTAAAACTACCTTCACAGCAAAATGAGTAAGAGAAATTGTTTCCTGAATTCCCACATGAAAAAAGGGTTTAGCTTGCTTAAAGACAGAACTGAGGAACTTCTAATCAAAATCCAAAAATCACAAAATGTTCATGTGGACCGTGGCACGTCCCTGACACGGAGCGGGCCAGGCCTCAGTTACGCTCCAGTCAGGGAAACAGTCTCCACCTTCCCACTGGGGTCCAGAAGCAGGAGCCTCAAGGACCCACGGCAATGACATTCCTCCATGAAAGAAAATCATTTTCCTCCAGGTCAGTCACTATACAGCAGGAAATTAAGGTCAAAATTTTGGTGGAAAAGAATCCATATTTTATCTAATCATTTTGTTGGCATTAGGAAATATTTGTAAAGAAAAGTCAAATTTGTCAGTACGACAAAAATTGGAGACAATCTAAAAATCACCTTATTCCTGTATGCCAAAGGTATACAAGGATGAGAGATGGTGGATAGTGACAGAATTATTTGCTGAAATAGATTAACTGGTAAAGAAAGAAAAATGACGCTTTTCCTTTTCCTGTTTACCCCATCCTTTCCTTCCATATATCACCTGCTTTCTTTCCAGTCTGTGTAGTTTTTTGTGTATCATTTAAATCCACCTTTTCAGAAATTAAAATAAATAAATAAAAATAAAATCCATCTTTTCCGATATCAATTTCCTATCTCAATTTAAAATCACATAAGTGAACATATTATATTCCTTTTTTAAGTAAAACATTCAAATTTATTTAAGTTTTTAAAATTTTATGTGACTCTCAGTTTTGATAGCACTGTTCTTAGAAAAGAAATCACTCCTAGAATAAACTAGTTTAAAGCCTTAATGAGTGATTATGTTTAATAATCTGATGGCAGCATGACTGAACTATTATTCAGAAAAAGATACAATGTTCCTTACAGATTCCTAATTGTCACCTAAAATTTTTTGAAGGGAATGCATTTTGAAGCTAAAGTGGAGATCGATATGAAAACATAACAATATGTTTGGTGGACTTTTCTAAAAACACATCTAACACAAATAGAATCAAGTTACATTCAAACCGTCACAGTAGGCCAATTAGTCATAAATAAAAAGGCATTTCTAAAGTGAAGCCTTATTTGAGAACATACCTTCAACATTTGAACATAAGTACAAATATGATTTTAGGTTATTTAAGGGAGCTGGCAAATATACAGAGTCAGTTGGGATCTTTACGATTTTTGACACAAAATTTAATTACTCATGATTATAATGAACTGACCTGATGTCGTATGCCAACAATGCATTTCAAAGATGAAAGATTCTATAGCAGCTTGTTTAACATTAAGGCAACTGACAAAGGATTTCTAAAACAGCGAATTTTAACATTCGCTCTGGCAGAGTTGTGAATTTTTCCAGAAATTCAAGACATGCAAACGCATTCCCAAAGGCAGACAGACAAAGCATTAAAGGCCATTATCCTCCACAAACAAATGTTATAAATACAAGAAAAAGACGGTATCATGAATTAGTATTTTTAAAGGTGCTAGAGGTTCGAAAGAGTGAGGCCATGCACAATGGTTCCTGACAAGCTCTAGGGTTCGAGTCCAGCTACCTTCCAAACCACCAACCTTGTGAAAGGCCCAATCACTAAAAGTGAGTTAGTTTTCAGGTACAACAGGAATAAAACCAACCAAACACATATAAATGGTAATGCAGCCTTCTTAAGGCAGACAAAATATACATAAAATATGTTTAAGCTCAAATTACAATTTTAAAGCATTTTATTACATACATTAGATAAGCCACAATGTTGAAAAAGGAGCTAGAAAATATTTTAAAAGTCTAAAAAATTACATAACATAATTAACAGTGATTATCTTTGTGCAGGAACATTATAAATTTTTTATTTATTTATTTTAATATGTTTTTACTGATTTTTTTATATATAGAGAGAGACATATTAATGTGAGAGAGAAACATCTATCAGCTGCCTCCTGCATGCCCCCACTGGGGCTGGAGCCTGCAACCCAGGCATGTGCCCTGACCGGGAATTGAACCAGGACCTACCTCTCAGTCCATGGGACAACCCTCAATCCACTGAGCCACACCAGCCGGGCAAGAATTTAAAAGGTTTTTTTTCTTCTTCTTCTTCTTAGTGTACTGGTTTATTTATATATTCTCATTTATTATATTTGAACATGCATAATATATGAGTTATAAAAAATGAGTAATCACTAAAGAAAAAGCGGTAGGGTTTTAATATATGGGAATCAAAAACAAAGCTGACGCGAGCTTATGGGTTACCTTCAAACAAGTTAGGAATGTATTAATATAAATACCAGAGCTTTTAAAAATAACAGAAATATGGATATAGTATTATTTATAGTATCTCAAAGCAGTATTTATAACATTAGAAAACAAAAATGATTTAAATTCTAGCGATTTGGGTCAATCAAACCATGGAATATTAAAGAGCTAAATCTAAATATATGTGTAGTGATTTTTTTAAAAAGAGCTCCAAGATATAAAAAAGGCAAGCATAATGTCATCCTAATTTTTTTTTTAAACTCACACTGTGTTCACATTTTTGCTAATACGATAACATCTGAATGAGTGAACTGCAAACGTTTTCCCTCCAAGCAGAAAGGCGTGAGTTGGGAAAGAATATAAGTAGGAACTCTCTGTTTATTCTACAAACTTCTGCACTGTTTGAGCTTTTCACAATAAAAATATTTCATTTCTGTAGTTTAGCCAACAAGTGTAAAGAAATGAAAATACTGTGGAACTCTTTTATACTACCCACGTGGGATAGATGTACATGAGGTATACATCTCTTACCCTGCATTGCCTTGAAGTTCTTACCTCCTGGCATCTCACAGCTGTTAGTGGTTTCATTTTTGTCTCCTCCACCTTGAGAGGACAGGGATTTTGTGCTCATGCCTGCATCTCAAGTATGCAGTTGGCACACAGAATATTAAGTTATTGTACTGATGTTATTGCAACTAGATAAGTACAACACAGAGAATGAAATGAACAAATCTACGCCGGTTTGTGGTTTGTTCTTCAAAGAACAGTCTTGTTTTCAGCTGCTCAAAGAATTCAAACTTTAAAAAGAAAAAAATCTTTTGCTTTAAAAATTGTTTTAGGGTAGATATATTTAGAATCTTTGAAACATACATTTTGTCCCCATTCCAAATAGTACAATTTCAAATAAGAGTGACTTTCAAAAATGTCTGTCTCTGCTACTTAAACATACCAAAAAAACATTGACATTGGATGTATAAGATGCTACAAATTGTGGCTATTAGACTGAATGTTAAAATAATTTTTTTATCCTCACCCAAGGACATTTTTCCATTTTTTTGTTGAGATAGAGTGGTAGGGAGGGAGAAGGAGGAGAGAGAGAAAGAGAAACATCAACATGAAAAGGACACACTGAGTGGCCGCCACCCGCTCGACCCAACCAGGGCCGGGGACAAACTGCAAATAACGTTGGTGCCCTTAGCGGGAACCGAACCCGGGTCTCTCTGGACCACAGGCCAACGCTCTAACCGCTGAGCCAAATCGGCCAGGGCTGAATATTAAAATAATTTAAATCAATCAGACAAAATGCCCTATTTCTGGCACACTGCTTATTTAATATAATTTCCAAAATGTGTATTTTGCTTTCAAAGAAAAATGAATGACAAATTTAGAGGTTAAGGATACTAATATAAAGGGTCTTATATTGATTTCACTAAAAATATATATTAATATGATTTCTCTCTGATCATTAAATTAAGCCTTTGGAATGCAACTTAAAACACTGCTAAATATGCAAAACAGCAGCACCCTAGCATCAAGGCCTAAAACACAATTTTAATTCTCTGGTTAAGTTAGCTCAGCAACAAAATAGGCATGCACAGGACTGTGAGAAACTAAACTACAAGGCATCGCCACCTGGCCCATTTAATGAAGTATGGCAAGTGGTTGAGAAGACTGAATGTGTAGAAGGAATAGCGAGTAATCTCTGTCACAGTCCACGCGACCAGAAAAAGCACCACACTCTCTTCATTCTGGATCTGCAGAATGACAGAGAAATCCACAGTGTCGTTTAAGCTTGATCTTTTTCTCCATGAAGATATTTTATCTTAATTATTTACTGAGTGTCTTTTATTATAATGGAATGGTAGGGTTAGACAGATGTAATACAGAAAACCAATGCAGTCACCACTACATAATTCATTATAAATACACAACTTAAATATGTCCTTAGCACAGGAATGGTCACATTTCTACGGGATTCTCTTTCACCCTTCCCTCCGGCCAATAACTCAACTACCCCAAGACAACATCACCCCCTCAAAACAGCATGGGAACAATCTAACCCTCCAACTTTCTATTAGTCATCATGTCAGACCCATTCTACTGTAGCACTAACTCTTGATCTGCCCACATGTCTTTGGCCCCGTTACCAGGAGTTTAATCCAGGGCCTTATCATGTCTCATCCAGACTAAAAAAGCTCTCCACTCTTTATTCTCCTTATGGACAAAAGTTCTCTCTTAAAAGCAAAATAAAGAAGGAAACAAACTTGGAGGCAACTAGTCCTGCAATTTAAAAGCCTCAATGGTTTCCCATTATTTAACAAGAGAAAAGGATACAATCCTACCACCTGGGCATGAAGTTCAAGGTTCTTTATAATCTGAGCACAGAAATCTCTCCAACATCATCTGCAAATACTTGACTCACCTCTACCCCAACCCCCACCTCTGCACCCCCAACACCTCTCTCTGTTGACACTAAACTTTGTATTATTTCCTGGATAAGCTCTGAACGTTTGCCTTAACGCATGCTATTCCCTCACTAGAATGCTACTCCCATAGAAAATCCTTTCTCATCTCCTCTTTTAAATCCAGTTAAAACATCACACCCTCTGGAAAACTTTCCCCAAGCCCTCCTTTCACCCTCAGCAGTTATTTGCTCACCTTCCCTGTTCTCAGAGTATTTTGTTCATATTTGTATTACAACACTTGCCAATTTTGTACTGAAATTTGTCTGCCTGACTCTTGTACACCTATCAGTGCTCAACTTATACAGTCTTTCCTCAGGGAGCCTTCCTTCACTCCCTAGTCCCCAGATATATTGCTATACATGTCAGTCTCTTGTTTCAAAGCACTAACACTAATACAATGAAACAATTATTTGTGCAACAACTTGCTTAGTATTGCTCCCAATTATAAGCTCTTTGAGGCGGGAACTGTATTTGTATGACTAATAGCCAGATCCCCAGCATGGTGTCAAGCACAGACCAGGTGCACAATTAATATTTGTTGAATTATTCAACATCTGTTTGACTGTCCCTCGCTCTCAACAGCCAGTACACGTCAGCTGGGATTGCCTTTTTCATCTTCTGTAAATCCAGTGCCAGGTGTATAGAATGCATTCAATAAATATTGGTTGGATTAATTAAGGAGTGGTAGAAAGATGCCAGTAGGAAATTATTGTTGGATAAAATTAAATAGTAATATTAAGGCAGAGGTCCTCTGGAGGATTGAAAAATAGAGCAAGCAGGATCTTTTTTCTCTTGGGGACTAGCTACCTTTTAGCTTGTTTTTAAATTCTTTTCTTCGGTTAATGTTGGCCACCCTGTCCTTTTCCTCAGTCTTCAAACTTTTTGTGGTCCTGGCCCAGATGTTATAGTCACTCACTGTCCAGAAAAGTCTCTCTTTTATCCTGTTAATGTTGTAGTCCTGCTTTTAAACTACATGGCAGTCTGAATTAAAAGTCTGTCTCTCCGTGTGGCATGCACTCATTGTTCTCTGTATGGTAGTCACTGGTTAGGGACCAGGTGGACTGAGTAAGGTGAGTGGAAGATTCTAGCCAAGAGGGCTAAAGAGTAGAGTAACAAAAGGGCAGAAGGTCAGCAATCTGTCCCCAAGCAGACAGGAGGCCAATGAGTCTTACAGGCAAAGGAAGGGAGGTTTGGTATAATCCCAAGCAGAGAAAAGCATCTGAAGAATGGAAAGGAGGCCAGAGATCTGTCTTCAAGTAGAGAGGAGACTCCAGAGGCTATGAAGAAGGTCAGAAGGGCCCATCTGGGAAATGTTTGTCATAGGTTTAAAAGGCCCAATGTCTTGACATAGTAAACATGTGTGTGTTTGTCTGAAAGGGTTTAAGCCATTAACTAGATTTGGGTCTGCCTCCTGTCATGCCTCAATAAATAATGTGCTCATTTTTCCTTAAGTTTCTTAACCTTTCTAACTTCTACTCTTTGCCATTTGTCCAGATCTCCAGAGCTACACATACTTTTTATGTCTGTTGCTACAACACTAAATGCTAAATAAGGAAAAATAAACTGTTTACATTGACAACTTCAATTACATAAACAAAGACAATACACATAACTTTAGTAGAAAAGAAAATTTTCAGTTAGCCACTTGACAGAATATGAATATTAATTTTAAAAACTGGGAAATGCCAGAGGAGAGTATAATATGACTATAAAATGACAGTATTTGGTTTTGCCTGTGTTTCAAAGTTATTCTGCTAATTCATTGAGTCAACGGACAAATGCACTGAAATCCAAACCCAAGCCTTTTTTGTCCAACAATTCTGCTTCCTGAAATATACCAGTGCTAATATTTTAGATTCCTATTAATAAAAAAGCTGTCCTGCAGGCTCAAGCAGAGAACATGCTCATGTCACTTACTGGTTTTATACTATGAGTAATGAGCCACACCATAAAGATTCTGGAACTCACTTGGACCCCAGCCACAAGCACAGAAGTAGGTACAATTCCTTAAAGAAAAAAACAAGTCAACCATTGTCTTCAAAGCAATTTATACCGAAAATTAAAATTAAATAAAAAACTCACCAATTAGACAGTGGACTATCTGTAAGGAAATAAAAAGAATCAGAAGTCAGTAGCATACAACATAAAATAAATCCTTGTTAACATCAGTTTTAAATGAATCTGCAGGTGTTGTGTAATCAGCAAAACTGCTTTTGCTCAAAAAACACATTTTCAAATAAATATTACAATGACAGAAAAATAGCATCATTGAAAACTTACCTCAAGCAAGGCAAATGTCTGGAAAAATTTAAGCGTCTTCTGAATACTTTTATATAAACCTTTGTGTGTTCCTTTTTCCATGTAAAAACGTACCATGGCAATAGCTAGTACCAACCACCTAGAGAAAAGAAAAGAATTTTATAAAGTTTTTCCAAAATGAATACATACCACTAATTTTCCTAAACAGAATGCCATAATTTATATAGTAATAACATGTACGTTTTATTATGCTCTTAGTTTGTTATTCTATTTTTTAAAACCTGAGGAAGAAATGACAAACATTATTTTTACAGGGACTCTTCAAGGAGATGAACAGAGCATATATGAGACCAACTATGTACAAATGTCAAACAGTCCACTGTATCTTTGGTTCCAGCAGATAAACTGACACACTGAAAAAATCAGGTTTATTACCAAAAATGAAGTCATAAAGCATTTAATAATTGTATAGTGATTTCTTTCTTTTTTTTTTTTCTTTTTTCTTTATTGATCTTTAGAGAGAGAGGAAAGGAGAGGGAGAGAGAGAGAGAGAAACATCGATGAGAAGGAACATTGATTGGTCGCCTCCTGCATGCCACCCACTGGGGATTGGGCCCACAACCTGGGCATGTGCCCTGACTGGGAATTGAACTGGCGACTTCTTGGTGCATGAGTTGATGCACAACCACTGAGCCACACCAGCTGGGCTGTATAGTGATTTCTTACGGTAAAAGCTATGTGTTTATAAATGCAAATGCAATATATAATTATATGTGATTATAAGTAAAACCTTTAGTAAGAATTGATTCGTATTTTTACAAAGTTTATTAAGTAAAACAACTGCTGTGCCACACAAGGGATACACATAGAAGGTCAGGCATGGGCCTGATTTCATAAAATTTACATATATATGTGCTCCCTTTTCAACTTATATTTGCACATCATATATAGATTCTATACTGTGAATTAACAGTACTTAAAATACAAGCTACACCTGAAGAGACCAGCTTTCTCACCCTATTACTCAGCCTCCTCGAGTCAGTGATGAGAAGTAATATTTCTCCAGTTTCCCCCACAATTACAATAGCACAATTAAGTTGTAAAAAGTTCCACCATCTGTAGCTCTTTTAAACCTTTAGTGATATACCCATGGAAATGAGTACTACCCCAGGCTTTTAAATAGGTGGTTTCCAGAGTGTCTTGTTAAATGGATTTATGAATTATAAAATTATTTTAAAAAATGAAACAAAAAAAGTCATCAAATTTGTATGGAACCACAAAAGACTTCACTCAAATAGCCAAAGCAATCCTGAGAAAAAAAGAACAAAGCCAGAGGTATCACACTCCCTGATTTCGAATTATACTGCAAAATAACAATAATCAAAACAGCATGGTACTGGCAAAAAAACAGATACACAGACCAATGGAATAGACTTGAGAATTCAGAAATAAACCCACATGTGTTTTGGCAAATAATTTTCAACAAAGGAGCCAAAAACATACAATGGAGAAAAGAAAGGCTCTTTGATAAATGGTGCTGGGAGAGTTGGAGAGCCACACCAAAAAGAAGGAAATCAAACTACTGTTTGTCTCATGTATAAAAATTAATTCAAAATGAACCAAGGTTTAAATATAAGATCTGAAACAATAAATTACATAGGTACTAAACTCATGAACCTTGGTCTTAGATAGAATTTTTTTATGAACTTGACCCAAAGGCAAGGGAAGTATAGGCAAAAATAAATGAATGGGACTCTATCAAACTAAAAAGTTTTTCTGCACAGCAAAAGAAGCCACAAACAAAGCAAAACGGCAACTAACCAAAGGGGAGAGGATACATTTGCAAACAACAGCTTTGACAAAGGGTTAATATCCAAAATATAAAGAATTCATACAACTCAATACCAAAGAAATAATCAAATTAAATGATGAGCAGAGGCCCCAACAGACACTTGTCCCAAGAAGACATACAAACAGCCAACAGATAAATGAAAAAATGCTCAACTTCATTAGCTGTTAGGGAAATGCAAATCAAAACTACAGTGAGACAGCACCTCACACCTGTTAGAATGGATAGTCTCAACAAAACAAGTAATAACAAGTGTTAGACAGATTGTGAAAAAAAGAAACCCTTATTCACTACTGGCGGGAATGCAGACTGATATAACCACTATGAAAACCAAAGTAAGAAGGCTCCTCAAGAAATTAAGAATAAAATTACCATATGACTCAGCAACCCCTGTTCTGGCTATCTACCAGAAATTTTTGAAAACATGTATTCACAAAGATATATGCACCCCTATGTTCACTGTAGCATTATTCACGGTGGCCAAGAACTGGAAACAACCGAAGTGTCCTTTGATAGAGGACTGGATAAAGAAGATGTGGTTCGCATATACAATAGAATACTACTCAGCCATAAGAAAAGATGAAATACTGCCATTGCGATAACATGGATGGACCTTGACAATATTACGCTGAGCGAAATGAGTCAGAAAAAGTTTTGAACCATGTGATTTCACTCATATGTGGCACATAAACCTGAAAGCAACAAATGAACAAACAAGAAAAACAAACAAAAACTCATAGACACAGACAACAGTATGGTGGTTACAAGAGGTAAAGGGGTGGGGGAATAATAAAGGGTAAAGGGGGCCAAATATATGCGAAGAGAAGATTTGACATGGAGTGGTGGGCACACAATGCAATACACAGATGCTGTATCACAGAATTGTACACTTGAAACCTATATAATCTTATTAACCAATGTCACACCAATAAATTTAATTAATAATTTTAAAAATTGTAAAAGAAAACAATTATGTTAAAGTTTTAATTTTTTAAGTAAAGAACAGTCATAGACAAATGGCTTTAAGATTCCTTCAAAAACACTACCAAATAAGTTGAAAATGCAAGCTCAATACGACAATAAGAAAACAGCAGAATGGCACGTTTACTCTGGGAACTTCTACTCTACTCAGCATATAGCGGGGCAAAAGCCATGGCTTTCTTATGAGATATGGTAAGAAGTCAGATAAACATCTGAAACTATCTCAAAGACCTCTGAAATGTAGAAATATGAATGATAATAACAACAATTAACAAGTATACATTCAGAGTGCTTTCAATATTCTAGACACTGATCAAAACATATATTTAACCTATTAGTATTTCATTCTCACGGTAACCTTATAAGGAGGCAACTACTATTATCCAATTTTACTACTGTGGAAATAGGCAGAAAGGGCCACCTAACCACTCGGCTAGGACCAAAACCCACCGCTGAGCTGTCTATGCTCCTGAACCACTATGCTGTACTGGTCTGGTTCTCAGTACATACTGTACCTTGAGATATTTGCTAATCATAGTAGTAATTCATGTACTTAAATTATAAATAAACTTAAAAAGTTATATGGAGAGTTACACTCAAATATTATAACTAATAATAGCATGCTATCAAAAACTTTGAAGGCCACTCACCAGAGACATCAAGTGACTAACCAAAGTCTTAGAGTAAGTTAATGGTTGAGTATGAAGTACAACCCTTGACGTCTCCAAACTCCAGGCCTTTACTGAATTCAGCTGATGGTGTCACCCCCATGTGAGAGCCAACACTGAATTCTGTGCTGGGCTAATCTGAAACCACTAATCTGGTCAGTGTTGTAGGTACCTTCCCAATTTAATATGTTATTTCATTACCCTCAATTCCAAGTCCCTATACTACTTCTAATAAGAAAACAAAACATTAAATAGGATGTTTCAATTCACATTTTCCATACACTTGTTTTAGGCAAATCCAATATCAGAGTTTTACAAAAGATCAATTTGAGAGGTAATTATTAACCAAACAAAGAACTCATCATAGGATTCATATAAAGGGCAAGTTTCCTATACCGTAAACCCTCAATTTTGCAGACCTTGATTTAACGGACTCTGGACTTAATGGACAAAATTTCTGATCTGTATATCATGTATGAAAATTAACACCCTGTTGCCCTGGCCGGTTTGGCTCAGCGGTTAGACCATCCACCTGCGGTCCAGAGAGACCCAGGTTCTGTTCCTGCTAAGGGCATGTACCTCGGTTGCAGTTTGTCCCCGGCCCTGGTCGGTCGTGCAGGTGGCAGCCACTCAATGTGTCCCTTTCACATCGATGTTTCTCTCTCTCTTCTTCTCTCTCCCTCCCACTCTATCTGTGCAAAAAATGGAAAAATGTCCTTGGGTGAGGATAAAAAAAAAAGAAAGAAAAGAAAATTAACACCCTGTTAATTTTAAAATGTTTTAACCAAGAGTTGCTTATAATGAAATTAACAGGTTATTTTTTTGGTTATTAATTCATTGTTATTTTAACAAATTTTAGCGCATAGGCCATATGTTGATAAAAAGACTAGTAATTTCACCAACACAATTAATATTACATATCTACAACTATAGCAGACATACTTAAATCCAAGAGTCACCACTCATAAACAATGTTCCGACAATGATTAGCACGTGATCACACCACACTGAGCTTGGCAATTGGTTCTATTGTCCCAAGGGGTGACCTTCTGCAGCAGTTTCACCACAAGCCAGCAGATGTTCCTGTGCATTTGTTAACTTGTTTCCTCAGTGGCTGGTGAATGCACGCAGTTAGTAGACCTATTCGGTGTAAATTTAAAATTACAGTAATACACATAGAAAACTTTTCTGTAAAATTAAACTTTTCATACATACTTAATCTTAATTACACAAACATGTCTACATAAGTAAAAACAGATAAACTAATTTGTCTAATTTTTAACCTACTCATTTGGAAAACCTACTTTACTATATAACAGACTTTCGGCTTTAACAGATACCCCCTCGCCTGAATTAGTCCATTATATTGAGGCTTTACTGTATTTTTAAATAGCATGTTATAAAAATCCATGCCTTATAACACTGTAACAAATTTTACTGTTGCTCTGTAGGTGGCAGTATTGTACCAACTAGTATAGTGTTATAATACTAACACTAACCTGTTTAAAATAAAGGAAACTAACACTGTGGGGTTAGAAACGACCACCGAACCATTTGTGCTAACCTTTCATCTGTTTTTCAGTAAATATGGCCAGGAACTAATCTGAACTAATAATCGCTCATTCCCCAAGTCCTACCATC